AAGGGTGGAGGATGTACTAATTTCGCAGCTCAAAAATACGAGAGGATGGCGCCACCCGCTTGTGAAGAGGATGCCGCCCCGCCCACCTGGCTGCCATAACTGCTTTGGCTTAGCCTTTAAGGCTGAGCCCGCTTTCAAGAATAATGAGTTATGGAGCTCATATAATACGTGATCCAGTAGTGAAGAAAAAAAAGCAGAAAAAAATCAAAGCCCTGCATAGAACCCCATGCTGGCCAGATGGGCGGAGCGGTGACTCTTCACTAGCGAACGGCGCTATCCTCTCGCCTTTTGAGATGCAAAACTAGTACATACTGCATCCTCATAGGGAGGGCTATGATATCCAGAGAGGGCGCGGGAACATCAAATGAACGTGGGCGCTGCCTTTAGGGTCGCATACGGTCATTTCCACTGTCGAGGCTGGGCGTGTCAGGGGACCGTGTTTGGCGCGGCCTTAGCCCTGTCTGTACCGTTTTTCAAGCGCAACAACAATCGATGGAGAGCAGGCTAACGCCCCCTGACACGCCCCCTGTGCCTGCAGCGAAAACGACTATACACCAACTGTGCATTAATCACTATACTACTATTTTTTAAAATTACTTGTAAAGTACCGAGAACAGGAGCGGAGAGTTGCTTTTGTAGACTTTGCGAATAGAGTTCGATGGCTTTGTGGTAACGCTTTTCACGGAAACATACATTACCCGCTTCCTTCAAACGAACAGCTTCCATCGACATCTGGGCAGACTAAGCTATGCAAATTAGTCCACAAATCCAGAAAAATATCGATTTATGTATGTTTACGCCACGATATTATGTAAGGCGAGAACCTGTGTTACTTCTGAACATAAAGCTAAAATAACTTATATATTTATTACATGAATCACAGCAGTAATTTGCACCAATATCATCAATATGAAAGATAGAGATAAGCAACAATAAATACTATGCATGAACCTGTACAGACGGATATTCTTTCACCTAATACAAATTCACGCTGATCTTCAGATTCCTATAATCATGACGAAGTTTGATGAAGTCTTGAATCAACGTTTGATCGACATCAGCCTTAAATCAGTATTTATGAGTACGAACTGTAGCGGAAGGTCGTGTAGCTAGAGATCATGCTCAATTCATCGCTTCAGTACACCCTGACGCTGAAGCCTTTACCCTTGCGAGCTGCTCATTTTCTAGATCGAGAACTGCTCGAAACATCGCGCCAGTCCTAGCCTTCATTCTATAGGTCCTGGTCCTCGCCATGTGGAAGGGAGGCAGCACAGGAATGGAAGAAATGGCGCTTCAGACCTGGATGACGCCGCCTACTAATGAGTGATGGCTCGGAAAATATTCTGTCAAGACTGGATACGACTCCCATCGACCAAATATGAACCTCTCTCTCCGAGTACGAACTCCTATTGGAGTTTTTCAACGATGCTGCACCCTGGTGCAAGGCGAAGGAGTCAACCAACTGCAGCAAAGCGCCACTCTCAAAAGTACTCGGGAACGGGCTGCAGGGTAGTGATACCCTGGTGCCGTCTCCATACCGCTGTCGTACTGCCAATAACTCGTCCAACCAGCGCCCACGTTCATTTGATGTTCCCGCGCCCTCTCTGGATATCATAGCCCTCCCTATGAGGATGCAGTATGTACTAGTTTTGCATCTCAAAAAGGCGAGAGGATAGCGCCGTTCGCTAGTGAAGAGTCGGCCGCCCCGCCCACCTGGCCAGCATAGGGTTCTATAGGGCATTTTCCATGATTTTTTTCTGCTTTTTTCTTCACTACTGGATCACGTATTATATGAGCTCCATAACTCATTATTCTTGAAAGCGTCAGCCTTTAAAGGCTAAGCCAAAGCAGTTATGGCAGCCAGGTGGGCGGGGCGGCATCCTCTTCACAAGCGGGTGGCGCCATCCTCTCGTATTTTTGAGCTGCGAAATTAGTACATCCTCCACCCTTGTCGACAAAGCTACGATATCTAAGGAGGGCGTAGAAACATCAAATGAACGCGTGTGCTGCCTTTAACGAAACGCGCGGCTTTTCTGCGCCCCCTCACATCCAGCGGTTCTTTACCTCTAACTGCGTGCTCACCGTTGTCCTAAAAGTGGTGCTGCACCTTGAAGATAGTAAGTGAGGAAAAGATTGGATATCACTACGTACCACACTCATTTCCGCTTCAAGAAGCCGAAAATAAACCCGTTCATCTCACACACGGACTGTCCCAGGAGGATGCCCAGTTTGTCTTCAAGCAACAAACACAGAAGAATTTGTGGTTCAATACCTTTTTCCCTTTATCATTTCAACTGTCTCTTCACTAAAATCCGAAAACGCTGAGAGCCAAAAATATAATAAAATATCATACTTTTAGACGGTGAGGAGCAAAGCATTGCACTGTACATGAAAACTTGCCAGCATCGGACTATGAGCAGCATCAGAGAGGTTGTCGGGGAGCACCACGAGAAGATTCGCCAGCGCATGCAAACTCTCGAATTGCCTGGACACGTTTGCCTCCAGACGCCATTGTGACACACATTTCCGGTACTCGTTGAGATCGCACAGCAAAAGCATAGCGCCAGCTGAGTTGAAGGTGAACTGAAACACGTATTTGGTTATCCTCTTTCGATTACTTCTTGTTCTTTTTACTTCTAACATCACAGCTGTCCTTTAACTAATAATTATCTTCAGCTTAAAAGCCACGTCTCGCGATCATTCGATGAGCAGACGCCTTCTGTGGAAATGGTAGTCCTGTCCGCAAGCGTGGAGGATGCACTATCACTTTGGCACCTCTAAAGTACATTAACAAAGCGCGACCCGTTAGTTTCAAGGCTACGGTCCCGCCCATTGACCAGAAACGACCCCTTTACTCTCTAACAAGGGAGGTCTTTCAGGTCGTGGCGCGCTTTTTGGAAATGGTTTGTTGCTTGTTGTAGGGGTCCATACAAGGATCACAAAAATGGGTTTCATTTTTGCTATGCGTTTCTGGGGAGGTCAAAACTGAGTGAAAAGAATTTGACAAGAATGGGCGATCTAAATGGCCCCGTTCTGATTGTAACTTCGAGCATGCATAGTTTATGAGGTGCTCGTTTGTTCAAAAATAGTTTCAAATAAAGTCAAAATGTAAGTATCATGTAGTAACACACTTGGCATGCACCGACGCAACAGTGATGTTTGTCAGCGGTGACAGTGAGCATGAGGGGACCGCTGACAAAAACATCACTGTTGCGTCGGTGCATGCCAAGTGTGTTACTACATGATACTTACATTTTGACTTTATTCAAAACTATTTTTGAAGCCTAATTATGCATGCTCGAAGTTACAATCAGAACGGAGCCCATTAAGATAGTTAAAATCGCCCATTCTTGTCAAATTCTTTTCACTCAGTTTTTGACCTCCCCAGAAACGCATAGCAAAAATGAAACCCATTTTTGTGATCCTTGTATGGACCCCTACAACAAGCAACAAACCATTTCCAAAAAGCGCGCCACGACCTGAAAGACCTCCCTTGTAAGGGGTTGCTGGTGATGGGGTTGTTTTGCTACTCTTTCCATTTTGAATGGTGAAAGCGTTCCAGCGAGTTTTTCTTTTCTTGATCATCTTCACTTCTTGTGTCGCTTCACATCTCGTCACTTAGTATTTTAGCCCCAGAACTCACCATTTTTGAACCCGGGGCAGGACTTTGAGGGGTTGCTGGAAGTGGAACCCAAACCCAGCACGCGCTAACCATATCCACAGACCTACTCACTACGTAACCAACCTGCTGAACATGATTGAGCAGAAGCTTGTACAGTCGATTCGCTAATTCTGTTTGTAATATAACAAGATTGCCTCCGTCACAGCCCCGCTCCATGGCAGCCGCTTGCCCTGCTAGGAAGCGTACAACTTGCTGGCAGGGCTGGAATAAGGTCGATTCAAGTACAAGAATTCGATAATAAAGGAACAATTCCAAAACGCACCGCAGATGCTTGCAAATTGATTTGCTGGTTATCAGGACGGAAATCAGCTTTCTTCTGTTCTGACGTGAGAACAAATCGTACATAACCGACGATAGCGTTCAGCTGTCTTTCCAGCCCCATGTTAATCTTTTGTTCTAGTGAGCGTAAAGAAGTTGACCACTTCTTCGCCACACACTGTTCAACGACGCTACCCCTGGAATCGAAAACTTGGCTGCAGCGCCTCCAAACTTGGCTAAAGTTAAAGAGGGTCGTACTTTATTAGAGGAAGTACTGAATCCTCGTACTGTTTCATCAACAAAAGCACTATCGTGGTATTTTGCGAAACGACAGCAAAAAAGTAGGCAGGTGGGGGAGTCTTAGGCTCGGCCAAGGAGATCCCTGAAAATCGATTAAGAAATTAGGGAGCAATATGGAACTGATTTGAGAAGGACATCATGTAATGATAATGAAAAAGAAAAGGGTAAGGTGAGTCAAAGACATTGCTGAGGATCAGGCGATCGTTGCCAACGTCGTTGGTGAGAGGGTTGTGTGAAGTGTGGAAAAACCACCCCTCCCCCGTCTAGCAGCACCGCCACCAATGACGCTGGCAACAACAGCCCGCCTCTAGAAATCGTGTCCACTGCCTTCAGGGAAAAGCACCAAGAACAAGCCACCCGGTAAAAAAAAGATGATTCGCCCCGCCGTTCTTAGACAGATAATCCTTTCGTCAATCCACGGCTTGATAGTGAGTTGGGGTTGACGACACAGGGTATAGGGAGGTTTCGATTTTTTTTTCGTTTTTTTTTGGCTGACTCACCAGATATAGCCAATTCCACCGCATAGTCCAGATGTTCAGAATACAGATACCTAAGCAGTATATCCAGTATGTTCTCGCTGTGTGGGAACCTCGCGATTTCTCGCAAAGCTGCAAACCATGCATAATGTTTAACAGACGGGCACGTTGTACTCAAAGAAATATTGAAAATCAAGGGCATTTCTTGCCATTGGGGGGGGGGGGGGGGTAATCGTACAAAATACGACCTCGTATGCAGCAATCAAAAAAGTAATCCTTATTGAGGCGCATGGCACCTTCTGGTTTTTCACCCAGTGAATGTTTGAATATTGAAGCCTTTGTGGAAGAGAACCTAAGGAAAGCTTACCTGAGATGCTCTATTGAAAGCATTTTTAGTTTCTTGCAAAATGCTGATAGCGACGTCTTCTGACAGGAAGGTCTCTCCACCATACGTTTCTACAGTTAAGAGACGTGCCTGCACGTCCCGTTTCAACTCTTGCAAACTGAATCCAATCAGATACGGAAAAGGCATACACTCCAAGGAGAGAGACTCAAGAACCTACCCTCCACTATGAATTTGCTTCTTCACATGTTTCTTTGACTCATAAAACCGTTGAAGCATGTTGCTGCACTGGGCATGGAGATAATCCAACTCTTCACTCTGATAAGTGGACAAATACCTGGAATTGTAATAACATGGGAAGAGTTGCTTTCAGTTATGATCACTTCTGGATGTACCCCCCCCCCCACCTTCTCCGTTCGGAGATTACAGTGACGGTTGAATGCGGCATGGACTTCAATTACTTGCGGGGCCAGCCGGGCCTGCGATGCCATACGTCATGTGCTATCTTATCAGCTCGATCTCGAAGCAATTAGGGATGGAATTGGGTAGCTCATACAGAAGCCCTACAAGTCCATTTCTAAGGACATGATGTACTGCGTACTGCCTCGCTTGACAGCCGTCAAACGGCGCAACCGTACTTGGGAGGAGGGTGAGGTGAGGGGGAAGCGCAATTAGTTACCACTTTTCAGTCCTTGCTGCCTCCATCCCTCTGTGAAAAGGCTCAAGCTTAGAGGGTACACCACCAGAGCGGTCGAGTTACAGTCGTGCACAGAAGACACAGTCTTCACTGAGCCTAAGCCTTGATTAGGGGGAAGGGCATACAGGGGCGGCGAGTGGTCCACCCAACAGCGCTGGCGCCCGTCGGACTATGAACTTGTTCAGAATCCATAGACCTTCCAGAGCACCGAACCGCACACGAATCTTTGCAAATATCAGAAATGCTGAATCAGCGATAGCATTCTCCGGCCAAGGGGGTCGATATACGTGGCGCGCACAAACTAACTAATACAGTATTGTTCGCTGCGGATGCTGGAGTCGTGGCAGGGGGGGGGAGGGCTCGGTTTGGCGCGGCGCCAACCCGTTCTACATCAGTTGTAGGAGCTGGCAAGAGAACGCAGTAGGTAGAAAACGGGTAGTCACCGCGCAAAACCCAGCCATCCTGACAGGCTCCAGTACCGGCAGCGAACAAGACTATTTTTCTAGCTAGCTAATTAGTTGTATTTGTACTTCTCTTTCTTTCAGAGAAAAACTGGCTTTGGTGCGAATTCCGCGCACGCAAAGCCATTTACAGCGTCACCTTCTCCACAAAGTAGATCTCCTGGCCCACACCCATTATTTTCTTCATACTCCGGCGTTACTTATGTGGCAGGAAGCTCTCGTGACAAACAAATTCAGCTGAAACAAAAAAATACCTGTCAAATATAGAACGAGTCAGAGTTGGCAAGAAGGACGCATCTGAGCTAACATGAAGTGCATCGAGTTCCTTATTTAGTCGCAGAATGCTGGAAGAAATGCAATATAAGCAATGAATATATCTATCGCTACGGGTTTCATTAAGACATGGGACCCTGTTCGGCTTCGGAGAGGCATTACGCTAATTCCCCTCCCCCCCCTCCCCAATCACTGCTGATTGCCGCCAGTGTATAAGTGCATACTTATGAAGCTATGCAACTTCGTTTACAGGAGTCCACACGTCGTACCAAGGTGAAACGTGAAACTTAACAGGAAATAGCAGCACCAACTAGAAAAATGCTCCCAACAAACTGGGCCAAAAAAATTAGAAAAAAAGAGAAAAGTGCACAAGTTTGCGAAAAACATCAACTGAATATGCTTGTGCCAGTCCAACTAGATATCCTTCTTTATCGTCGCTTTCTTTACATTCCCGTAATTTCGCATAAATGTGGTCTTTGAGTCTTCCCGTGTATAAGCTCAGGATCTGAATTCAAAGGCCAAAAACTGTTAGTGAGCAGATATCGTCCATACTAACAATAGGCCTACCAGTTTTTGTACAACTGCTGTTGGACTCGGGAAAATAGCCTCTATCTTTGGTTTGTGGGTTCGAACAAGTTGGAGTGCTTCTGAATAAGACATCGTCGGTACCACTTCGGAACAGCGACTGGATATACTCCACATACCGAGCGACACAATGAGAATAACCCTGAATTTCAACTGTGACTTTTTTTCAATTTCTTGTTGAAATTCGAAGTAGGTGGGCATGATCGCTGTGGGCGGGTGAGTGTCACCAACGTCATTGGTGGAAGTGATTAGTGGGATGTAGCCTAACGCCCTTTTGCAGCTCTTCCACCAATGATGCTGGCAGCAACCGCATGCCTGCAGCGGTGCCCACTACCTCTGACGAAATAAATGACTAACCTTGAACTCGCTTAAAATTTTCGCAACTTCTGCCATTTTCTTCTCGTCACGCTGAGCACGTCCGAACTCATCAATCAGTAATCGTTCTACTTCTTCATACCTTCAAAAATTACATATGTAAATGATGATGAAACAGATACAGGCAAATGACGAAATTAGTGTATAGCAAATGAAAAGAAAAGCGGGCGGTGCTAACTGGTTTGGGGGGGGGTGCATCTTGCACTTACGCTAGATCCCTTTACTAGTTCCTGTTAGCTAACACGTCATACCAGGGTGAGTCATGTAGACCCCGGTCAGGCGTAAAGAAGCTCTGCTATTGAAAAGTTTTATAGGAATTCACAGTTCTTTACTAATGCCACCGGTAGTTATCGATGGGAACCAGCAAAATACGCCCACCAAGCCGAACGGCACCAGTAAAAAACATACCTACGAGCATAACGTACGTAGGTATGTTTCTATAACATACGTAAAAATAAACAAATAAATAAATAAAGAAACACCTGTGCGCAATTCTTGCTTGCACCGCGAGGAACTTGTCTTTCGACAATTCCTGTGAAATCGAGTACAGTTTCTGTACCAAGTCGCCGATTCAAGTAGCTGAAAAGTGATCGTAAACGGAAAACATAAATAGACTAATGAACCCACTGAAGTACCTTATCTGGGTCGGTGAAGATCATCGAGTTAAGAGGCTGATCTGACAGGAACTCATCAAAGTGCTGGATTAGTTGAAGTGCATCATGCGCTCGTTGTCTCGGTTGGTGAACCTTCAAAAGACACTGACATTATTAATTCACAACATTAAAACTTTATATACGCCATATGCCGTAGATGAAGGGGGCGTGGCCGCGTGCTTCACTTGGGCATGGTGGCGGCTGCGCTTTGTTGGGTATACCGTTTTGGGACAGTTCCAATCATGCCTCTGTCCGGCACAAAACAGGATGACCGTTGCCTTGAATGACTTCATTTTATGAGGATGCATCTCACGCCATGTTCAAATCAAGTACGCAATCATGCCCTTCCTTCTTCGGGATATGGAGACATATAAAGGCATATAAAGGGACAAGAAGGAAAAGCTAAGGCAGAAGCCACCAACCAACAAAGGATCAACTTCCCCTCGAAAATTTTGTTCGAGCTAATATTTTGGTAACCCTGTGTGCTGCACAACAGTACCCCCGAAATCTAGAGTACCCCTTGCCGAGGAGTCACCCCGAGAAACTGGTGATGGTAACCAGCCTATTCGAAAACAGCTTCCGTTCAAGATCGTTCACATGAATCTTTGAACGACGGCGCTATTCGCTAGGGGGGGGGAAAGGCCAGAGGACATTCTGCCAGTTCGCTAGTTTCTTTATTTTACTCACCTTGACGAGAATTGTAACCTCTTACTTATTATGTATGGGTTTGTCTTTACAAGTATTCGTAAGCCTTCGCAAAGCGTCTGCGCAAACTTCGCTAAGCACATAGCAGGCGCAGTTCGGCTTGATGGTGGGAATTTTGCTAACTCCCATCCATCTTTGCTGACACCTCCTGTGGGAACCTGTAGACCCTTGTCAAGCTAAATAAGAATAGCACAAGCTCCATTCACACTTGCCAGAAGTATACTGGTCACCAAGCCGTGACGTGTAAGTTGAAGAAACTAGACAAAATGCAAATGCCCGCCTCCTCTCCCACCCCCGAACTGTACAGCGCCCCATATCGTGGCTTGACAAGTGTGTAAGTCTGCAGGCCGATGGGAACCCCCTCCAACGGACTATGGCCGATTCATTTTACTCAGTGACTTCCCATAATCGCTAACAGTATGAAACAAACGTACTGATTCAAGCTGATCTCCCAAATGCACAACTTTCGTGGAAACTGTCTGCATTGTCGCGTCAAGTTGCTGAAATTAAGAACAAATGACTCAATTCAGCAATGAGTGATCATGTAAAAAGAAACCTTTATTTTGTCAATAGCCTCAGCGTTCCTTTCATACAATCGCTGAAGCTGATTGACATACTCACGTTTGTCCTTGTTCAGCTCGTTCTCCAACATGGCAATTTTGCTCTGAACTTCATTTCTGCACAAGATAAATAAAAAAAACACCATAAGAGCACATTTTCGGGAATTCGGTTTGGTGGAGGCATCAAATGTCACTTGACTAAGCTTGCCTAGGTCACTTTGTGAAGGTCTGTAAGTTCCTGTGACTAAAGTAGTCAATCCAACAATTTCGCAGCTTTACAGGTGTTTACAGATCTGACCAAAGTGACTTCTGTTCGTCATCATGAAGCAACGAAAGCGAAAGCAACTAAGCGCAATATGCACCCTCCAAGGCGAATAGCGCTGGCGAAACCCATAGGTCTCGGGCGATCTGCGATCAAAATGTACTGCATGTTCATTTTGTTGCATGTGACTGCACCGTTGGTAAAAGCTCAGCATGGGGCATACAATGAGGAGCACATGGCTCCAACTCACTATACATCAATTTCAGTGCCTTCCTGAACGTAGACGTTACTAATTAGAGCGCAGTTCGGCTTGGTTGGTAGGGACACCAAATGCCATTCGATGAAGCCAGTACAGGTTACGTTACTTGCACTAGCTTCAGTGCCCTATGAGCCCGCGAATTTTCGTAATGGCTACCTTTTACCAATTCGCACCTTCACAGATCTACCTAATAGGTAACATGAACGAACAAAAGGAACCAGCGAAGGTGCACTCTCTCTCCCAAGCCGAACAACGCCCTAGCTTTTGTTTACTAAGGTACCACATGGATAAAAATGAATCACAGATCCAAAGAATCCACCATAACCCCTCCAGTAGTGTACTTTACACAAATTTTCGTGTGCTTTTAAATTCGCTTTCATGGCTACGAGCTCTTGGGAAAGAAGAGGTCATACCCTTCAGAAAAGGTTCTCAACGAACCTGAAACTGATCGCATAACATTTGCAGACTGCCTATCTCCTCTTCGAACTTGTTCTTCAACGATACAGGATCAGTGATAGTTTCTGCTCCACCAGTCATTCGCCATGCAACTCGTTCAACAAAATCAATGGCATCGAATGGATCCTGAACTTTTATTTTCAAAACCTTTTCAGTTGCCTAAAATTGCTAGGATACCAGAAACCCCGATGATGGGGATATCTGAGCTAAGGAGGTAGCAATTCATTTCTTCAAGTTCGCTTCAAAACTGCGTTTTCTTTCTTGCAAGTGGAGAGCAACCCCATCCACCACTTCAGAGGAGAAAGGTCCAGATTAGCGGTGATCTAAACTTACAGTGTATTCTGAACAGGGAATCACGCCCTGTCGCTGAACTATTTTTGCAAGATACGACCCCTCCTCTCAAAGCGACGAGCAAACACGACCCTCACCCCAGTAGTGAGTTGCCACAGGCCCGTTGACGATATCCCCTCCTCTCAAAGCGACGAGCAAACACGACCCTCACCCCCAGTAGGAGTTCCCCAGGGTTGCGATAGCGCGCATGAAAGAGGAAAAATCAAATATCAAAAAAGGTTCCCTGGCCGAATACGAGCCCTCCCCTGCTTAGCATTCCGCAACGTACGATGTTCGAGGCTCTAGCAAAAGCGACAAAGCGGAAGCGTATGCCAAATAAAACTATCCCACAATTTCAGTTCAGTTGAGGCTCCAGAACGGACCCAAGCTAAGGTTTTCGAATTATTTTTCCCGTCTAGCTAATGAAAACAGCACTCTACCACATGAAAACCCAGAACAGAAATCGTGCAGGTGTTTGCGCAAATCAGGGCCATGAGGAAAACCGGCCCATCACATGCCCCTCCCCTCTCCACGATCGCGTTAGGTATGTACGACCATCTTCAACCCAAGACCCAACTTCATTACCTCTTCCCTCAGTTTTCCAGAAGCAAGACCAGCGAACAGTACTGTATTATAACCAAAATTCATATAGGTTCACATTGAAGCAGACTTTTCTCAGCAAGCCGAATTGGCCCCCTCCCACCAAAACTTTTCGAATGGACCGCCCCATTGAGGAAATCTTAACCACGGCGTGCCCTGCTCTTTTCATTCTCAGGGTCTTTACGAACGCAAAATCAA